CGAACAGACAAGAAGAGACATGAAGGATATACAAACATCATTGCTTATAGAGTTTCTGTTCATTTTAATCAATTCTAACAATTAATTATAGCTTAAACCACTGGTTTTTCAATTCTTAATGCCAAAATCTGGCTTACTTTGACGTATTTGTGACAAGTCCTCTACCCAATAATTTAATTAAACCTTAAAGGTTAGATATTATTAAACCTTTCTATATTCCTAGAAGCTTAGAGGTGTGTCAGATTTAGAAACCATTGGTTTTAAGCTTGTACTTGGCTACATATTTAAGAAATTTAATTGTAGAAATTCTTACCGTGCTTGTTCGTCTGAAAATATAAAAAATAAATAATTAATAAATTACGAAATAAGTTTTTATATTTTAAAGAATTAAATAAACTTGCCAACAATTCTGGCAAAACTGCACACTCCACTTGCAAGCAGCACCCCTAAAATGATGATAAATCGGAGATTCATCATAAAATTCTGGAATTCTGACACAGGTTTTCACTTATATACTATTCATTTCAGACTTTTATTATGCTAAATAAAATTAATGATTATAGATAGATTATGGTTTATTAATTCGTTTTACCCACCTGTTTTATAGAATTAAACTTTATATTGTCTGGTCAGATATGAGCCATTTCCTTTTTATAATTTACCTTAATTTAAAAATAATAAATGAAATAATCAAATAATATTTTATTTAATGTCTGGATAAAACTTTCAAAATTATTTTAAATTGTTGAAGTTATTTTAAGAAGCATGCATAGAAATAAGGTGTTGAATTTCAGAGGCAATGCAGTGTTTTGTTACATGGGTGGAAAACGAGATTTGGCTCTCCTGTGGTCACCATTAGCTAAATCTTTGATTTAGCACACTTCAAGATTGCTTCATGTTGGATTCTTCGTAATAAAATAATGTACCACCGTATTATAAACACTCGATGTATAAGTGCTCTCAAGTAACAAAATGAGTGGTCAAAAAGTCCATATGAAAAAATAAAAATCCAAATTCAGCAAGGTCCCAATGTCCCAAGTTTACTTTAATGTTGTTCATAAATAGTTCATACAGAAATGGCAACGCTACAAGTGCTCTCTATTGGAAACCCTTCTGGAAACAGGAGATGCATTTGGTGCAAATTACCATTAGCTTGGTAAGAGTGGTGGATCGTGTGTGACGTCATCCATACTTTCTTCAATTTAATTCATCCTTTCTATTTTCTCTGTTGTCATCATCGATACTTTGCAGACGCCATACAAACCATGTGGCCGGTGTGGTTAGGATGCTGAGGCACCACTGATAAGCTGCTGACGTCACTTGCTTAGTTTAGGAACGATTTTTTGAAAAAGGGTGAGCACTGCTTAAGAATAATTTATACTTACAAGAAGAAGAATGTCGTTCTCATTGTCATATTTTTCACAATAAGATGTCTCTCGGACTGAAGTGAAGATTAACTCTATAAACAATGGTTTACTATTATTAAGTATCAATAATAATGAGCTAAAGTTTAAAGTGTTTCATTTCTCTGTCTTTCAATGCCGATTTACACTAGTGACAAAATTACATGACGGCGACGAGCGTCAACGAGTAACTCTTTCCGCCCTGTGGGCACTAAGAGGGCCCCTTTTTGCAAGCCCATTATGGGTTCGGCCAGGCCCACAATGGGGCTGCCGGGTGGTGAGGGACTGCTCTCGACATATCCGAACGGACCATCCCCGAAAAATTCCTGGGGATTTTCCGACCCGTTCCGGATTCGAGCCCGGGTCCCCAGAGCGGTGGCTGTCACCTTGACCGCTCGGCCATCCGGCCTACGAGATTGCACTATAAAGTACAGTACAGTAGAGTACAGTACAATACTGTGTACAGTATAATGTATACAGTATTGTACTGACTGCCAGATTTACAGTATACAGTTTTGACTTGTCACTGGAGAGCAATATAAAGTTTAATTCTATAAAACAGATGGGTAAAACGAATTACAAGACCTTAGATTATGGTTCAATACAGATTCCAAATAATAAAATTTGGAATTATTAAACCATAATCTAATCATTAATCATTAATATTTTAATAAAACCATAATAATTAATTTTTATTTAGCGTAATAAAAGTCTGAAAGGAATAGTATATAAGTGGTAAACCGGCTTCAGAATTTCAGAATTTCATGATGAATCTCAGATTTATCATCATTTTAGGGGTGCTGCTCGCAAATGGAGTGTGCAGTTTTGTTGGCAAGTTAATTTAATTATTTAAAATATAAAAACTTATTTTGTAATTCATTAATTATTTATTTTTTTATATTTTCAGACGAACAAGCACGGTAAGAATTTCTATAATTAAATTTCTTAAATAAGTACAAGACAAAAACCAATGGTTTCTAAATTTGACACACCTATAAGATTTTAGGGGTTTAAAAAGGTTTAATAATATCTAACCTTTAAGGTTTAATTAAATTATTGCGTAGCGGACTTGTCACAAATACCTCAAAGTAAGCCAAATTTTGGCATTAAGAATTGAAAAAGCAGTGGTTTAAGCTATAATTAATTGTTAGAATTGATTAAAATGAACAGAAACTCTATAAGCGATGATTCTTCATGTCTGTCTTCTATGTCTGTTCGCGTATCTAATTTTACAAAATTCTGTACACATATTCAAGATAATCCTAGGAAGGATACAAGCCACTGATGTAGAATGTATAGAGTAAATTTCAATGTAAAATTGTGTTGGGTAAAATCTATTATAAGTACATATTCTTTATATACGTATGTCTTTTTATATATTATCCTTACACCTTATATAGTAGTTTAATAATAATTAAGTAAAAAAATAATATAGACTTATTATTTGAATTATTTTTATATAGATGCGACCATTTAGGTGAACCATGCGACAGCGACAACGATTGTTGTCCTTATGGAGAACGATGCCTCAGCAGCAATGGGAAGGACTACTTTTGCTCTGTGGATCCTGGCCCATAAAATTCATCTTTCTTTACATATTAATTTAGGAATGCAATAAGTATTTTAAATTAAATTTTTTCCAAAGCATATGATTCAAGTTATTTACTCAGTTCCATTGTTATTATATATCTCTTTAGAAAATATTCGATTACTGTAATATCGCGCTAATCCAAATCGTGTTCTTCCGAACACCTTGTAATCCAAACAGATTCAACCATCTGTCTAAAATAATAGACTTGTCAACTGTACATTTGCAACTCACGTGTAAACGTTTGTTTGTTTATTAAGTTACGGCAACGCAACACTTGGGCAATCTGCCTAGGGAGATGCCTTACGCGAGGACTTTTTAAGGGTAACTGGCCCCTATTCAGGGGTTACAAACGTGAAGAAAACCGGAAAACTCCGCGTGGTCAACCCGTTCAGGGCCAGGCGCGAACCCTATCTCCCACAGCCGATTGCAGATACACATTTTACGTTAACGGCATCTAGACGTTGGCTGGCTGAACAGCAGTTTGAATTAATTAGACTGTTTGTTTTTTTGCTTACAATGTGTTCATTTTTAAATATTTTTGGGAGTTTTCGTTAAGGGCAAGAAAACGTAGTAAAAAAATTTATAGTTAAGCCTGTACTGTATATACATTACAGCAGACCCTCCTATAACACGGTAGATACGTTCCGTGTTATATGAATTCCGTGTTGTACGAGTCACTTAAATTCACGAGCCAATCACAGCCTGGCACGTCTGCAGTTTAACGGCTACGGCTGTTTGAAAAGTTTTCTTCCATAAAATTAATTGATTCTAGACTAATTTGACTCAACATTTCCAAATCACGTATAATTTTTTGGGAATAATCCATATAAACTATGCTATAAACAAAAAATTGTAGGATTACTTACCGAGTGCGCACCGTTCGAAGACGCCATTAATTAAGCTTGTTTTCGTCGCGGAGCGGCTCATCGAATGGCGGGCGCGTTTCCTGAGAAGTTATTTTCCTGCAAAAAATTCGCTGAACTTTGGAGGCATCATTAATATAAATATATATTTTTGGCCGTTAAATAATAAATGACTTTTAGTAGCTCCGCTGCGCGTTTAAACTCAACGGTTTGTGCAATGTCTGCTATTGGTCCAGATTCGACCAATCCTGTCGCGACACGAGTCGGCGATGACGTTCTACCGTGTTATACGAGTTTCTTTTAGCGTGTTATACGAACACGATCGCAATTTTTTCGCCGTGCTATACGAATCCGTGTTATATGAACCCGTTTTATAGGGGTCTACTGTATTAATATGGGATGTCTTCGGGATTTCCGAGAACACTGAATCAGGAAGAAAAGGGAATGATGAGAATTATATTCATTTAATTATGGAAATGTATAGAAATTAGTGATGTAACGAATAGTATATTCGGCCTCAGGCCGAATACCGAATATTGGGCCAAAATATTCGGCTTGATTAACGCACGTACGAAAATTGGCGCGCAAACTGGCATTATGGCAAGGATCGTGTATCCTGCTCTCTATTGGCCCACTATTACTACGCTTCGCCAATTGCGTTAATTCTTGACAGTTGTAACGGACAGACAAGAGCGTCATGGCAGTATGTGATAAGTGATGATATCAAATGTGAATTCTTTATCTTTACCTTCTCTTTTCCAACGTTGAGTTCAAAAGAAAAACAAACTTTTTCTTCCTGACAATATGGTGGTTTGTTCTACCGAGAAGTCACTTCCGGCTTCGATTGCGCCGCTAGTGGAAAAAGAGCGCTGCCGCTCCAGTTAGGTATGGTTAGCTCCGTGTAGGAGAGTGTATCTACAAAATTTATTAAACATGTATAAACAAGCGCTCATCTCATGAACATAATAGAAAAACATGTTCGGCTTTTAAGCTCGTTATTGGTTAGTAATTAATAAACCGAAAAATTGAAATTTCATAAAATTAATAATATAATCTAATAATTACACAATTGTTTAATTATAAAATTATCATTATTATTTTTTTAACCGATAATTCGTTTCATTAATTTTTTTGAATATTTTCAAATTAAGACGTTCGAATTATTGTTCTAAAGACACTTTCCAATTGGATTCGTTGTTTTGAATTCTAAGCTGCAAATCGGAAAAAATAAAAATGGAATTTGTAATTAAAAGGCCCAAAAGAAGAATAGAGGAAGGTGAAAAAAATATCTGAAACTAATTTAAACTTTTATTTATTATTATAGTTTATTATCATAGTGTATTTCCATCTTGTCCCTTACGAAGTCTTCTCTAAAAGAACTTCCGTTCTTCTCGTTCTCTTAACCTCTTCTTCCAACCTTTTCATGCAAATTTTATAATTTCGATAATTATTTTAAATTTTAATATATTTTCCGTTATTTCATTAGCTGATGAAAAACAAGAAGTCATCGGAAAGATATCAAACTTAAAGGCACTTCCGGAGACACGAAATAACATATTGAAGAGTGACAAACTCTCTCCTTCGGTCAGTCGCAAGGTATCTTCTGTATCTCCTGATATCAGATATACAGAAATCAACAGAGATAAGGTAGCTGTAAGATCGAAAGATGTTAATTTGCAGAACATTTTCCCACCGAGACCGGGATTCGGGTACGCTGGCAAGAAAATAAACGTCATAAGTAACTTTTTCGAAATGAAAATAGACCAGAGTTACGTGTACCATTATGACGTGGATATTATTCCTCTAAAAAAGAACAAGGAACGATCCGTCGGTTGCAAAAGATACAATTGCCTCGACACCAAAGAAAATAGAAAAGTCATCGACAACCTTCTCTCGACTTTTCAATTGTTTCGGGACTATCCCGTCGCTTTCGACGGAAAGAAGAATTTATTCAGTTGTAATCTATTGCCCATCGAAGAAAAGAAGACGTACTTTGTATCGCTTAAGAGCAACAACAGAACGTGCGATTACAATGTAGTTTTAAAACCCGTTTGTAAGGATAAAATGGCTCTTCCCAGGATCGATCTAAAACCTCTTCGTAGAAAATGTCACGGGAACTCCGAAGAGGCCATCATGGCCGTGGATACCATCATGCGCCACGGACCCGCAAAATCTCTGGTACCTATCGGAAGATCGTTTTTCTCTTCGTCCAGCGATAAAGAAAGTATTTCCTTAGGAGCGGGTCGAGAAATCTGGTTCGGTTACCATCAGAGCGTTCGCATAGCTCAATGGAAACCCATGCTAAACGTCGACATATCGGCTACCACTTTCTACAAAAGCGGACCTTTGATAAAGTTCGTCGAAGAAGTTCTAAATGCCGACGTCAAACAGTGCAGGGGAATCGACGATCGTCAGATAAAAACACTTCGGAAGGAGTTGAAGTCTCTGAAAATTGAGGTAAACCATCTGCAATACAAAAAGACGTACAAGATTAACAACGTCACCAGCGAACCCGCCAGATACGTCTGCTTCATTTGGCAACGAGAAGATGCGCCGTGTCAGATCTCCGTCGCGGATTACTTCAAGAGGCAATACGGAGAACTTCGATACCCGCACCTTCCGTGCGTCTGCGTGGGAAACACCAGAAAATGCTCCTATTTACCTCTCGAGGTTTGCGAAGTTTGTCCGGGTCAACACTGCAGTAAAAAGATGGACGATAAACAAGTGGCGGAGATGATACGAAAAACTGCCAGACCCCCACAAAATCGATTTAGAGATATCATCAAAGCCGTTAAACAGACTTGTCAAGAAAACAAGGAACTTAACCGGGAATTCCGCATCGACATAAATAATCAACCGATGCGTGTAGATGGACGTGTGTTAATGCCGCCAGTGATCATGTATAGTCAATCCGAAGAAATTCTTCCGAAGAACGGCGCTTGGGATCTCAGAGACAAGAGTTTCTATCGTTCCGTCGACATAGAATGGTGGGCGTTTGTCAGCATGTCCTCGAATGTCTGTAAGGAAACGGACATGTTAAATTTTGCTCGGATGATCTGTCAAGGAGGAAGGAAATTTGGCATGGTTATTAACAAACCGTATTACCTTAGAGAGTATTCCCCGGCCAACTATTCCGTAGATTGGCTTTTGAAAAATATAATATCTTCGTGTCCGAGAATTCAATTAATTATGGTCGTTCTCCCTTCTCGAGGAGGAGGAAGTCTTTACGCCGAAATTAAAGAAGTGGCGGAAATAAGGATGGGACTAATCACCCAATGCGTTAAAGACGTAAATATTTCGGGCAAGAAATGTAACGCCCAGTTGATCTGCAATCTGTGCCAAAAAATCAATGCCAAATTGGATGGGATCAACAACATCCTCTCGCCGGCGGTCAATCTCAAGATTTTCGAAAAACCGGTTATCGTCATCGGTGCCGATTGCACCCATCCTTCGCCACACGACAAAATCAAATCGTCGATTGCCGCTTTGGTGGGAAGTTTGGACAATTATCCGAGCAGATACGCTGCCACCGTCAGCGTGCAGACCAACGGCAAGAAGAACAGAATTGAGATCATCGAAAACATGAAATCCATGATGAAAGACTTATTGGTCTCGTTCTATCGAAACACCGGAGGAAAAAAACCGGAAAAAATTATATTTTACAGAGACGGATTGAGCGAAGGAGAATTTTCTAAAGCGGTAAACAAGGAATTGATGCTAATGCGCGATGCCTGCGCAGAAATGAATCCTTCCGAAGTATACCAACCGCCCATTACTTTCGTCGTGGTGGGCAAACGACACCACACACGTTTCGTGCCAGAAAACTTGGAAGACGGAGTGGGAAAACACCGCAACATCCCCCAGGGAACGACCGTGGATACGACTATCGTCCATCCCACCCAATTCGATTTTTACATATGCAGCCACACCGGCATCCAGGGCACCAGCAGACCCGCCCATTACACTGTGCTGTGGGACGATAACAATTTTACGGCCGACGAGTTGCAAACCCTGTCGTATTACTTGTGCCACACTTACGTCAGGTGCACACGAAGCATTTCCATCCCGTGCCCCGTTATGTACGCGCATCTTGCAGCCTACCGTGCCAAACAGCATCTGTTGGCCAGATGGGAGGATGGAGGCAGGAACAACGATTCCAATTCTAATCTCAATCTTTCGAACGAACAGCTGTTGGACAACAGCTTCAAGTATTCGGTCGAAGTCGATCGCAAGATCACAAATACCATGTACTTCGTTTGAGAATTCCTCGCGATGGCTGTCACGTATGCCATTTATTCGAATGGCATTTCCTTGCAAAATATATTTTGTTTTAAAGTCAAAATTGTACATTCAAAGTATAATTTATTAAAATTTCAGTTTATCTGAATATTTTGAAAGTTTTGATGATTTATTAGAATATTACAAAACTATCCACAAAAATAAAGAAATGACGACATTAAGGTTGTATTTAATAAACTGGAACACTCAAAATCGAGCAACACCAGAGAATTTTCATGCCTCGATTCTCATCACGCGACACCACACTGTGGGCCTAAAATGAGGTCCTCTGAGTACTCAAAAGGGGAAAAAATTAAAAAATTATAGATATATTTAATTGAATTAAATGCCTGTGTCAACATATAATCATAATTTATACATTTCAAAATATGTAATTAATTAAGAAAATGAGAATAGCACGATATTATATTAGCTTTTTTGGATTTAATTATATTTTTACACATCAAGATATTCGTCCCTGACTGAAGTGCAGTGATGGCATGCGAATTCACGTTAGATTATTAAGGAGCGCTAAATTAAAGCTATTCGTCACTCTGCACAAACGGTGAATTCTACCTTTATTCTAAACCTTCCTTAATATTTGGCTTCGTGTTAACTACTTACTTCATAAGACATACAGAATGGGTAAAAAGTAACTAGGCATTAAGCAATCGCCATAATTTTTGAGATAATAAATCAATCGTAATAAAATTTAGGTATGTACGTACATCAGCCAATGAAATTATATAATTTTTGCGTCAGTGGATTAGAGAATGAGCGAGAGAGGTCGCACGTGCAATGGCAAGAAAGATGGACGACCATTCCTGTTTGGGAGCCAGCGCAGATTGCTGCACGCTATGAGGTGTGGAAATCGGTGGTTGCCGTGCGATGACGAGGACGTGCGGTGATGGATGTCATGCGGATACAATCGAGAATTGTCATTAGAAGCTAATGACCAAAGGTTCGGTCGCGTACGCATAAAGAAGCGACCGTTCATCCACATCACGATCTTCGGGCGTTTGAGGAAGTTGGGGATGGTAATAATGCCTATATTAAATTTTAAAGGCACGCGTCCGTATTTCCATTTAATAATGTAAAATTTGAATAATTTANTCAAAAGGGGAAAAAAATTAAAAAATTATAGATATATTTAAATGAATTAAATGCCTGTGTCAGCATATAATCATAATTTATACATTTCAAAATATGTAATTAATTAAGAAAATGAGAATAGCACGATATTATATTAGATTTTTTGGATTTAATTATATTTTTACACATCAAGATATTCGTTCCTGACTGAAGTGCAGTGATGGCATGCGAATTCACGTTAGATTATTAAGGAGCGCTAAATTAAAGCTATTTGTCACTCTGCACAAACGGTGAATTCTACCTTTATTCTAAAACTTCCTTAATATTTGACTTCGTGTTAACTACTTACTTCATAAGACATACAGGGTGGGTAAAAAGTAACTAGGTATTAAGCAATCGCCATAAGTTTTGAGATAATAATGCAATCGTAATAAAATTTACGTATGTACGTATATCAGCCAATGGAATTATATAATTTTTGCGTCAGTGGATTAGACAATGAGCGAGAGAGGTCGCACGTGCAATGGCAAGAAAGATGGACGACCACTCCTGTTTGGGAGCCAGCGCAGATTGCTCTACGCTATGAGGTGTGGAAATCGGTGGTTGCCGTGTAGTGACGATGACGTGCGGTGATGGATGTCATGCGGATACAATCGAGAATTGTCATTAGGAGCTAATGACCAAAGGTTCGGTCGCGTACGCATAGAGAAGCGACCGTTCATCCACATCACGATCTTCGGGCGTTTGAGGAAGTTGGGGATGGTAGTGATGCCTATATTAAATTTTAAAGGCACGAGTCTGTATTTCCATTTAATAATGTAAAACTTGAATAATTTCATCGTATTTGCTTTGGAAATATAGAAATTATAACGATTTATCAATGCCTAGTTACTTTCCACCCATTCTGTATATTGAATGTCCGTTTAGATACTGTATTTATATTTATTCCAACAAATCAGAAAATATCATTTTATTTTTACATAACTGTACATTATATTACAATAACTACAATATGACGTAAATATCGAGATATAAAGGTAAAAATATTTGAATATGTTCACCAAGTTGCATATAAAACCATCGGTTGATAATTATGAACATTCCTCCATTAAATTTCAAAAAAAATCTGTAAATGTAGATTTGAAATAATAGTTTTTTTGTTATTAACCAATCACTTAGTGTTTTTACTGTGAAAATCAATTCTTTAACATCGGAAATCATTCTTTAATAATGTAGCATAAAATAATCCTGGTTTATTGATTTTTCTGGTTATCTGCAGCATCTTCCTCGATAAAAGACTGTACTATAATCACTGGTATTAATCCCTGTGTTCTGACCAAATTACTTTTACTCTCTTTATTATTTAAATTCATTTGGATCTCCTCCGTGTCTTCTTTAGATTGGGCCAAATTTCCCGAAGAGGGTTGATTAATTATTACGGGTGTCATCAACACATTCGTAGGTCTGTTTACGTTTGCATCCGAGTCAAAACCTCTATGGTTTTTTATGTTCGAATCCTTACCTAAATTCCTCTCGTTAACTTGAGATGGAAGGAATTGGTTTCTCCCCGCATTACGAAAATTTTCGGAAATTTTAGAATTATCCGACTGTACTTGTATTCTTCCATTGACTCTGATTCTGAAAGTAAATATCACTCATCGCACTTTAGTTTATTTTTAATTTCATCTTTAGAAGTAAAATAGCATTTTTTTTCGTAATCATTAAAAAATCCCAATGAAACGCTTTATTTTACTTTCATCATTGATAATGTAGGAGAACATAAATTAATTGAGCCTAACTTGTCCGTATGGGTGAGATTGGCCCTACACTTTTAGTTACTTACTAGAAAATAAATTAAATTATTCAAATTTATGATATTCCTGTATGATCTTTATTATTCATATAAAATTCTATTTTACTATCTCATCTTGGAATTTCCCGGGTTCCCGGGAAAAGAAATTATTTTTCTCGTAATCCCGCTGGAGGCAAATTTCCCGGGAAATGAGAAACCCTAGTAACGAACCGTTCGAAAACTCTAACGAAATAGGAATAACAATGACGTCATCAGAGCCGTAAGTAGGCAGGTGCAATAGGTGCACCCGCACAGGGCCCACTTGGAAGGGGGCCCAAACTGCTGTTCACAAGAAATTATATTTTTAAATTTTAAATTTTTCCGCCTTTCTACAGCGCGGTTTGGCGATTACATTTCGCCTTACTTAGACCCTAGATGTCTGCTCACCAGTGTTCCCAACTGTGGCGACTTTTAGAGAGACGTAGTGAGGTAGCGGAGACTTCAGACAAATCAGCCAAAAGTAGCGACTTTTGATATTTTTTAATTTATTTTTTGAAAAATTTAAATTTATGTTTATAGTTTTCAAATTTACAGATTTTTCTCTACTTTGTAGAGCTTTCTGGCAACTACTAATATTATTACGATATACAAAACTGTATTTCTAGATTTTTCTACAGTG